CAACTGCGAAGGAGGGGAGAGACCGATGAGCGGCATGTATTTGAAATATTTTTTTAATCTTCAGATATGATGGTTTCCCTCACAATGTTTTTCTTTGCGCTGAATGTATGTTAAACATCTTTGTAAAGTAATGAATTAGAGTGAATAGAAGTTTTTATAATTATAATATAGGTATCCCCCATAGATTGCCTCATATCGTATATTTGTCATAGTTGCCATGCTTGGCAAGCAGGTTGGCAACCCCAGTTTTTTTATTTTTAGATGTTATTAGGAATACGCTGCTGCTCATCTCCTGATGTGTTTCCCTCTGTTGCCTCTTACGGGATTATATGAGGTAGTGGTTATCCTTACACCTTTGCCCTAAACAGAACGTATAGAACAAATAAAATGTGAAACTTAATCATAATTAAATGTGGTTTATGATGTGTGGTGTAAGAATATCCTCTACCCCATGTAATGGATATACTTATACCGCCACTACACGGATTTTTTCAATCATATAAAATGTTTTTGTTTTTGCCGGAGAATTTTTTGTCAAAGACAAGGAAATGGAAGAAAAGACAAATCTCGCAATATTAATTCATGTAACGTGCACTATTTGTGATACCAAGAATGAAATTGCTTGTTTTGTTGTCGCTACGCATCCACGAGCAAAATAACGTAGGTCAGTATAGTGCATTCACCGCACTTTAAAGCGCTTTACTGACTTCAGTATCAACGCGTTGAACTATGTGGATACGCCTTTATATGAAATGTTTTGCAATATACCTATATTAATTTAAGAATTTCCTATGTCATAGGACAAAACAGCTAAATATATGTATATATGTATACTAGAATAAATATTATAGAATAAAAATAAAGAAGGAAAGAATAAAACCGTTTTGATTAACTTTACATTTGGAAGTTTTAAAGAATTCGATATTTAAAAGTCCAAATTTCTAAAAAAATATAAAATATATTTTAGCGTTTTCAGGTCTGTAAAATCAGATTTTTTTCTTTTCTTTATTACTGGCAAGTGAAATTTTACTGCTGGACATGAGCCTCTCCCGTTGAGTGAGGATTTTATTATTATTGGTTGTTGACAGTTTGAATGCATTTATTAAAAATGATGTCTGTGTGAGTTAGTGAGAGTTAGTGTGTGTGAGTTAGTGTGTGTGAGAGCAAAGTATTGTTTTGTCTTCTAACTAATTTAATTTGACGTTTAGTTGTATAATAAATACATGATTAAGTTTTCATTAAAATCAATTGTATAGATAATCGAAAGTTAGAGCAGACCAAATCGCATTACCTACTCATTTGTTATATGTTATCTATTGCCTTATTGTAAAAACCACATCCATACTATGCTCATCTCCCTTCTAATGCACGCTGCGTGGCACGCCGGCATAGTCGCAACCGTCCCGTTGCACTCGTAAGTAGTGTAACCAATAACATAATAGGAAATTATAATAAGGAAATAGTACAAAAGAACATTGGTCAGCTATTTTTAATACGGAAATAAATATACTTTGTTACAGTCAGCTTAATTTATATATTACTGTTCTATTTATCAAAAAAATTGAAGGATTACAAAAGTATTTTTTTAAAAGGAATAAGGGAGACAAGCTAGCACACAGCCCACCTGATGGTAAGTGGATGCTGTGGCCCATATATCCTCGATTAAGAATCCAAATGCAGATGCGTTGTCACCCTTAAGGACTAAGATTGAATGCTTCGTATCCAGTAAAAAGGGTCTCCGGTTCTAAACACGTAGTGCTGAATGGCAATAATGATATTATGGCTTAATTTAGGTATCAGTCACTATTCGCAGTATTACAAACTATTCACATCTACTGCTCGAAAACTTTTTGGACATAAAGAAAGAATATTCTTACACTTAATTAACTTACGACGTGGAAGTTGATGAAATATGTCAGATATTTCAACATATTGTACCACTTAATTTTAACATATTATACTCGAATCTCTGTAATCATCAGTGTGTGCGTGTGTGTGCGTGTATGCTCATACGTTAATGAATGTTTTCACCTTGCATATCTCGATAAGAAATAATGATAATATAGTCTTCAAACAAATTAAATTTTTCCACGTATACTTGCATAATTTTATATATCAGAGGTTCGATTTATTTTGTTGAAAAAGTTCTTCATAAATCAAACTTAAATGCGCGCGCTGGTTTCCGATTACGTCATGACGTCACGCGTCTATGGCAGCTCTGTTAGCCAAGTTGACTTTCTACAATCATAACTGGTAATAGAACACTATAAAAATTAATAGAATTACATATTCCTTCAAATTTCACCATTTATGAGAAAGGTTTTTTTTAAATAGGATAAGGGTGACAAAGGAGCACACAGTCTACCTGATGGTAAGTGGTTGCTATGGCCCATAGACATCTACATCTATCTTCGATTACGAATCAAAATGCAGATGCGTTGTCATCCGTGAGGACTAAGTTGGAATGCCTCGTTTCCAGCAAAATGGGTCTCCGGTTCTCTACACTCACCATACGAAACACAGCAGCGTTAAGCTGCTATTTTACGCTGATATTCTGTGAGAGCGTGGTCCTTCCCCGTTCGAGCCGACCCATTCGTGCTACAACCATAATATAGTTGCAGCATGGCTCTACCACGTCTAAAAGTATTTTAAGAGGCGACAGAGGGAACTTAAAACTTTCTGTTTACAGCGTAATAATAAAATACCATGGTCATCAATCCGCCTGTTAAGTGTTGCGATTATGGAAAATATGAGTCATGATAAAAAATATTTACTTAAAGAAATTTTTATGGCTTGATTTTGAAATAAAATTGTGTCTTAACATATATTGCGTACATGGTGACCCTATAGACGATCAGTGCGGATGTACGAGTATATAATATGTTTCTGTCGGTCCTGACTAGCGCACGTTATGCGAGTTATTTAATTAAACAATACCTAATTATTCAACACAGGCAGTTAAGGCCCAAGCTTTTTAGTTGAAATGTTGACTTTTTGATTGTTGAAAAAACAGCAGAATTAAGCTGCCATTTTACGCTGACACTTTGTGAGAGAATGGTCTTTTTCGCGCCGACCCATTCGTGCTCTAACCATAAATTTGTGTTTAAATAAAAATGAGTGTAGATACGATTTAGTCCTCGGTCTTTTGTCCTCACAACTTCCAACTTTAAGAATAATTACTGTTAATTATATATAGTAAAAAAATAATACAGAAACGATTTTAATGAAAACCTAATCAATTATTCAGCATGCAATCATGGAATGATTGGCTTGGAGACTATGCGATGTTATCATTTTGTTTAAAAATATACGAAAAGAATAAGTTACCTGTGAAATTACATTTGAACTAGGACACACACAACAATCAAGGATTACATTTAATTGACGCCAAAACCTACTAAAACAAAACATTTAAATAAAACTAGTTTTTACGGAAGTTATCGCGTGTATTAACATATAAGAATATTAAATAAGTTAATATACACGAAAAAATCAGTAAAAACTAGTTTTATTTAAATGTATAGTGTTCGCGTAAACATAAGAACTCATTAAGAGACCATTATAAAAGAGACATAGTCAAGTTATTGTAAATCTATATTTTTAAGTTTTCATATAATTTAAATTCGTTGTTATTAATGGCTTTTAAAATGATTCTGATTAAGTAAAATCACTGTTACCGGCAGTTTATCGCAAACACCCTCGGTACCGCTACAAGAAAGCGACCCACATTTTCACCCGGCTTTATACGAGATGTCTCTACTCTAAAACCAGTCTTAATCGATATAAACTAACGGCTTATCACAATCTTATCTTCTTTATTGGACAGGATATTGTGGTGTTTACATATTGACACCGACTGTGACTACTGTCAATTTCACTATGTAAATTAATTAAATTATACAAATAATTATGTATGTGAAATCCATGTTATAGATTAAATTTTTTAAGTATAACACTTTTATATTTGTCTAGCTTTCTAATGAAATAACTGCACAAGATTAACAGCTTAATGATCTTTGATATGAAAATTATCTTCAAAATAGTTTGATAAGGAAATTCTATTTTATTTAATACTAATAATTAAAATAAAATTTATTGGTACAAAGTACATAAAATTTTACATTATTTATCGTTATGACATTTGAACAAAATATATGCGTTATAATTTTTAATTTGATTGGCGACTTTTATATTTTCGCCAAAATTAATGAATCTTTTTTTATTAAATAGGTATACTTTAGGGATGGTCTCGTACACAGTTAAAGGATAGTAGGAGAAAACTTTTTAATGTTGCTATTTAGAGGACATTAAAATTGCGATATTCTGGCTGGCTTTCACTTTTTATTAAAATTATATATATTTTTTAGACTGATTATAATTTTTGTATTATTTTTGCTATACACTATGTCTTAGCACTCATTTCAAAAAATTTTTATTCTATTTACATTACATTTACATTGAATAACTACTTTTATACGTAAATTTTTTGTCTCTAAATAATAAAGTTAATTCTAACTAAGGCAATTACCGCTTGTGATAAAAAAGGTTTATGTTAGCAGATATTTTTAATTATTTAACTTGTTTTATTTAGTTTATTGATATGTTATGTTTTCAACGTAAATGGTAAGTATAACCGAGTGGCCTAAACTTCTGAGTTCTATTGCGCCACAGGTATTGTGTTCCTGTCCAAAATCGAAAATTTATTTATGCAAGTAGGCAAAAACAAAAATTGTTTATTTCGGTTCAGACAGTTTTGTGGTTGTTCCCGCTTCCCGTGTCTCTGAGAGTTATCGTATAGGCGCCAGGGCACAAGTAGCATATAAGTATATTTCTTCGTAATACCACATCTTGCGAAGTTGATAGGTTCTGAAAGTATTCGAAAGTTGTCATCGACTTCGTCGGATAGGACGACATCGGATAGGAGGACGTCTTCACCATAAAAACAATCTTCATTAACATCAAGGAAATATTTGTTTTTGATATTAACATTTTTCTTTTAGTGTTATGCTTGGTGGTGGGCCTGAGTAACGCGCGATGGCTGAGACGAGGCCGCACAGACCAACCAAAAGAGACCAGCTTCATCGGAGAAGCAACTAACGAACTTTCTACTACTATCTTTCAGGTAATTATAATAGAAAGACGTTAAATATTTTCCCTTTATTGCGTGTTTTTGTGTAAGTGTAGCTTATACATGCAAACTATGAGAAAGTAATAGGTCTTTAGAAAAAAATGAATGTTGCATTGTTGTGCTAGAATGTATCTAAGAACGTCCGTTATGTGTCCCTCCGTAATCCCTAAACAAATGTATTTGCGCAACGATATCTTAATCTATTTGTTTTACGTGGACACCATAGACTATGAGCATAAAATAAATAAAGCGAACATTAACTGTAAAAACTGGTGACCCAAAAAGTAGTAATAACCATAATAAACATATAAGTTAGATAACTACACACGGTTTCTATTTTATAATGAGATTTACTTTTACTAAATTTTCTGAATGCTAATTCAGGCCATCAACGAGGTGCAGTGTCAATAGCGCAAGGCGACTAACGATTGTCAAACCTTTTTCCTAGCCTGGTGATTATGGCTATTCCTCTCAATTCTGAGGAACACTGTGTTGGCTAGTGTATGATTAAGTATTGTTGATTATTTTAATATTATGTCAATTTTTATTACAACACTTTTTTTTGTAAACAAGATTAGAATTGATTTAAACAATAATAATACTTTTAATTTTAAAACTAATACTTTTCCTTTTTTTCTAGGGTTACATAGATGATAACAGAAATATTGCTTTTTCGCCTCTTGGATATGCAACTATTCTTGCCATTTTAGCTGAAGGAGCCAAAGGCGAAACAAGAAATCAGCTAATCACAGCATTGCATTTGCCAGAAGACCAAAATCTTACCAGAAAAACTTTCCGTTATATAATGGAAAGGCTTAAAAACACAAATGAATATAAATATAACCAACCTGAATTGAAAAATTTCTTTTATATTTACAAAAACTATACCATTAACGAGGATTACAAAAAGATTTTGGAAGATTATTATCTAACAGATGTTAGGTCAGTAGAACGGTATAACTCAGGAATGATAAAGACGGATGATACCAATACTGACAGTGAAGCAAATGTTGAACTGCCCAAGAAAAAAGAAGATAGTGAAATAAAGGAAGTTATTCCTGAGCTTGTACCTCCTAAAGAAACAGAAGAGAAATTTATCTCTTTCGCTGTCGAGGATAAACCTGAAAAAGTTGACATTTCACAAACAGAATATAAACCGGCAAAGAACATTAAGGAGAAGATCAAACTAGTTAAGGCATATTCTAAAAAAGGAAAAGAAGAATCGGACGACGAAGAAGAAACGATGGTAGCTGTTGAAGCAAGAAATCATGCTAGGAGCTTGAAAATCCTGCAAGATAAAAATGATATTACTTCAAGTGTATCTGTCAATAGCGTTGGGAAAAAATCTATTAAAAGTAAGTATAATGCTAACAATAAGGAATATTTATGTTGAATTTTTGATAGAGGTCAAAAGTTTACTATTTGGTAGGTAGGCCTCCTATTCCACATAACTGTAGTACATACACTGCTTTGGTCTGGTTGAAGAACATAGAGAGTTAGTTCATTGATAGGCTATGAAGTATTCCATTTTAGTCCTCAAACATGGCAACGTACCCGTAGTTTTCTTGCACTGAAGTCTGTGGCAGATGTCCATAGGTTTTTATAGTCACTTTCCATTTTATGGGCTGTCAGCTTATTACTTTTTTTAAATTTAAGATCTTAATTGCACTTAAAATGTACAATTGGCGGACTTAATGCCTTTAGGCATTCTCTACCAGTCAACCACGAGCTAAGCAGAGAAACTTAAGTAAGTGCCATAAAACATTACAATATCTGTACGTGAATATAAATATAAAAACATACACGTTATACGTGTAAATACAATAGTATGTAATACTACAGATAACATAAATAATATACTCTATACCTGATGCATATCATACATAATTTTTAAATAATATGTAATACATACATTTTAAGCATACATACAAACTAACACATTATACAAAAACAACATAAATAATTTGTAATATTCAGCCCTACATAAGCAGAAACATTTAATTAAGAACGTTAGTTCCTGGAAGAATAAAGGTAGTGATCAGTCACCGTTCTCTTAAAGGCTGCAAACGAAGTCAGTTTCCTTATATGAGGAGGTAATTTATTCCATGATCTTATGGCCTCAGCGTCGAAAGACAGACATAAATTTGGTACGGCGAGGAAGAACGTAGTTCTCTCGGAGGATCGCAGGCTGCGATCGTGAGAAGAACCAAAATTCTGAAACTTGCATTTCAGGTATTGGGGAGTGCATGGATCATATAGGATTGAAAATATTTTATAATGTTATTAAAAAAAGTAAAAAACTAATAGAATAGAATAGCATAGAATAAAATAATTTTTAATTCAATATTGATTACAAGTAATTCTTATTGAAAGTAATTTTTTAAATTTACCACTGGTTCGAAAAATATCCTCTGTTCTGGCAAGAACCAGCAAGAAACCCAGCGGGACTTTTTTTTTTAAATAAATTTTACAATATAAATGATTAGAAACTATTTACAAAATGTATTTTAGAAACAGTTAGGAGGCGACCACCTCATTCTTAGGGGTTATTATCAACCATGTATTCATTTATATCGTAATAACCCTTATTTACAGTTTCAGCTTAAAAACATTTAAACTTGGTAATAGAGATACCTTGTATATTTTCTGGGACTTTGTTGTAATAGCGTATACCAGCCCCAAGAAAGAATTACTGACTCTGTGGAGTCGAGACTGGTTACACTAGCTTCTGTTCGTTCCTAGTGTTTACAGAGTGTATATCACTTTTTTTACTAAAATTATCTTTGTTTCTGTAAACATACATTAAATTTTCCTAAATGTACTGAGAGGCCGAAGTTAATATAATTGTTTCTTTAAATTTTTCTCTAAGAGACTCTCTTGGTTTAATGTTGTAAATAGCTCTTATTGCCCTCTTCTGCAAAACAAAAATAGTTACTAAAGGAGCCGCATTTGCCCATAGCAAAATCCCATAAGACATTATGCTATGGAAATAACTGAAATAAACTAATCTAGCTGTCTCGATCTCTAATCTTTTTTACAGCATAAGCTGCAGAGTTTAATCTGCTACTGTATCTATATATCTATTATAGACGCAATAACTTTAACGGAAAACCCCCATAAGTCTGCCGTTTTCCTAACATCAATAGTTTTAAAAAAATATTTACCGATATCTTTTGGCAACACTCTATGGAATTTAAAAGTATTTGAACAAGGCTTTACATTTTGTTTAAACAATGATTCAGCGACAGTAGGAGAAGAATTAAACGATTTTGTTGTCGAAAAAGAAACATCACTTAAATGTTTCTCAAAAGCCATAGCAATTTCTTGATCAGATGGAGTTAAATTATTGTTAATATTCAATTGAAAATCCGAGTTCCGTGGTTTGACCTTGCCCGTTTCACTATTAATTATACGCCATGTCATTTTATTTTTATCGCATGCAGTTTTAATTTTGTTGCTTAAATGCCTTAGCTGTGGAGCATACTTTATTAAAAATTTTAGGATATTTTTTACACACTCTCTAAATATAACACTATTATTATATTATGATCCTTCGTCTACTTTTATAAATTCCTACTGTCGCCTATTCAATAAATGATTTGCAACTGTTTATAGAGAAAGTTTTAGAAGTAAATATTATATTAAATTCACAAGTTATAATTTTAAATAATTCATCATACAAATAATGGGCACTATTTTTAAATAAAAGTGATGCAAGTCCTTTTACTATGTTACTTCTAAACCTCTCCAAGCGATGTTCATTTATTGAAACAAACAAAATTTTCTCATTTTTCTGTTTGTTGTGTATGTAAGACAATGAGACCAACTGTCCACTGTGATCTGAACTTAAATTTTGAATGATTGATTTATGCAAGGGCTTGACATCTGTAAAAATGTTATCTATACAGGTCACACTAGGCCGAGCAATACGTGTCGGTTCTAAGAATAAAATAACAAGACTATACGATTTAAATACTGATGGAAGAAGTTTCAAGGAGATTGATGTTAAAGTCTCCACATATTATAACAGACTTGTTCCGTTTACTAAGTTTGAGCAAAACTTCTTCCAAAATCTTTTCAAAATATTCGTAAGTAGCACATGGGGGCCTTACGTTCTTTATATAATAACAAACTTTTTTCTCTATAGAAGGAACTGACCACCTGTTGATTTCTGAAATTAAACATTAATTATATAAAATAACTATATATAAAATAACTTAATTAAACGCGATAAAATCCGTAAAAGTAGTTTTATTCAATGTGTAGTGTTCGCGTAAATATAAGAAATCATTAAGTTAAACATTACATTATAATCTTTTAGCGAATGTTCAGTTATACAAAGGATATGTATGCTGTTACTATTTAAAAACAATTCAACTTCCATTTCTTTGCCCATCATGCCTTGTAAATTTTGATGCACCAGGTGTAAACAATTCTTATTTGTTATTTGTGGGCTGCATTCTAAATTAATTAAACTCTTATTATTGCTACAGATTGTCTCTATTATCACACTCAATAATTTAAATTAGTTGGAACTGATTCCAAACTAAATATCAAAATGGCAATTATACTGCTCAATAGAAGCAGTCTTGGTAGCCAAAAAATTGGCTAAGTTAAGATGTGAATAATATGATAGCACATTTGCTATCAGTCTTAAATTATATTTGAATAGGTAATACCTATTTTTTGTCCAAAACTTCTTAATTACATTATTTATGTCAATTAAATGAAATTTGTCATTATTATCATTACAATTATATGTCAAATTTAAGTTATTATTACATATAAAATTTTTCATTTGTAAATTTAAGTTATGTCTTAGATTATTTTTCTCTGGCAATCTCTTCTTCTCTCAATATAAGGCAGTATGAACAACGTAATTTTGTGTACATTTAAATTATTAAGTTGTTTAGTATATCTTAATAACTGTTTGTTGTTTACACTGCCTCTTCTACCAACAAAAACTATTATTGTACTATTTGGGCAAAATTTAGTAACTATAATTTTATTAAGGATGTCAATAAAAGATGCTTCAGGCATGCAGCAATTTATAATTTTTTGTCTCTTTAAAACGTTATTTAAAGTTATACCTAAATTTTTACCAAATTTTTTGAAAATTATATTATTTTTGATCATATTTGAATTATTTTTTATTTTAATCTATGGTACTGTCGTAGAGTTTTGTGGTGATATAATATTATCAGCACACACCGACTCTAAAGAAACTGGTATTGACCGCTGTATTATATGTAATATGATGATGTTACAGCTTCTACAATAGATTCTCTGATGATTATCTTCAATGGAATGTACTTCCGTGGCTCCTGGAAACAGCCTTTCGAAGCAGTGGAAAATGGTGTATTCTACAAATCCAATACGGAGAAAATACAAGTGCCAATGATGAAGACTACGGGGACATTCAAGACCAGTTCGCTCCCAGATTTAGACAGTGAAGCCATTTTGTTACCTTATGATGTAAGTAGTATAATTTTCATTTAAAACACAAAAACACATTAGGCCGTTTTGGAGCACAGTGTGTAGGTGTATGAAAACGTTACCTGACTCTTCGCAATTATCGAGTAAAAACTACTAAAGCGGGAGAATCTAAGAATAAAATAAATCGGGCGACATACTAACTATAGCTGTAGTATAGAATCACTTGTAGTCCGATATTCTACCTCGTTATTACTACGGTCGTCTGTTTTTATTGGAAATACAATTTTTATGAACAATTAATTTATTAGTTAATAGAGGAATACGTTTTTGCCGAGTTGCCTATCAGTATGTAGTTCACAAAAAATCACTAACTAAATTTTAAATAAAATGTCTTGCATAAATATTTGATAAGCAACGCGGCAAAAACTTATTCATCAGCGTAGTAATCACGAGATCTCAGACTATTTACAAAAATATATAATTAATTAAATGTATAATATCTGAGATATGATACACTGATTTAGATTTTGAAAGATTCATGACCGGGCGAAAAATGCGAGAAATAAATATGAGTAAAACAGGTAAAATGACATTTTTACGTGGTAGAGCCATGCTGCAGCTATATTAGTAGTACAAATGGGTCGGCTCCACCACGCTTTCACAGAATACCAGCGTGAAATAGCAGCTTGACGCTCTGTGTTTTTTTTTTTTTTTTTTTTTTTTTATATAATAGGGGGCAAACGAGCATGCGGCTCACCTGATGTTAAGTGACTACCGCCGCCCATGAACAACCGCAACACCAGGGGAATTGCAGATGCGTTGCCGGCCTTTTAGAAAGGTGTAAGCTCTTTTCTTGAAGGTTCCTAAGTCGTATCGGTTCGGAAAATTCGCTGGTGGTAATTGATTCCACAAAGAAGTTGTGCGAGGGAGAAAACTTCTTCTAAATCGCACAGTGGTGGACCGCCAATCATCCAGATGGTATGGATGGTAACGCGAGTTTTGTCGCGACGTGCGATGGTGAAATTGAGCGGCTGGAATTAGTCCGAACAATTCCTCAGAGCACTCCCCGTGATAGATGCGATAAAATACGCAAAGAGATGCAACATCTCTACGCAGTGCCAGTGTATCGAGCCGATCGGAAAGAACTCGGTCGTCGACGATTCGAATCGCTCTGCGCTGGATGCGGTCAAGTGGAAGGAGCTGGCACTGGGGTGCCCCGGCCCAGAGATGAGAACAGTATTCCATGTGGGGCCGAACTTGCGCTTTGTAAAGTTGCAAGCGATGTGCCGGCATGAAATACTGTCTCGCTCTGCTGAGCACGCCAAGCTTTTTAGAGGCCAATTTGGCCTTCCCTTCCAAGTGACCACGAAACTGCACGCTATTCGATATGTCGACGCCAAGGATTCCGATACTGGCTGAGGCAGCAAGGGGAGTGCCTTGAAACTGAGGAGATACGACAAAGGGGTTCTTTTTAGCGGCAAACGCGCAAACTTGTGTCTTCTGGGGATTGAACTGGACTAGATTTAGTCGGCCCCAATCCGAGACTCGACTTCAGACACAAGTTTGTCCCGGTACTCGGCGACGTTTTCCCGAGAAATATTGGCACGGCCGGTATATAAGGCATCCCCAGTGCTGTCGTCTGCATAGCAATGAATGCTACCAGTTAGCAGCATATCATTGATATGCAGGAGAAACAGCGTTGGTGATAGCACGCAGCCTTGTGGAACACCAGCGTTGATAGGCTTGTAATCAGAGCATGCACCGTCTACTACGACCTTGATGCTCCGATCAGCAAGGAAACTGGTGATCCATTTGCACAATTTCTCGGGAAGCCCATAGGAAGGAAGCTTCGAAAGAAGCGCCTTGTGCCAGACCCGATCGAAGGCCTTCGCTATGTCCAAACTAACGGCCAATGCCTCCCCCTTGGACTCTACTGCCTCCGCCCATCTATGAGTTAAGTAAACTAAAAGATCACCTGCTGATCGACCCCGACGAAAACCGTACTGACGGTCACTGATCACCTGGTGATCCTCAAGGTACCTCATGAGCTGGCAGTTTATAATGGATTCCATTATTTTGGAGAACAAGGAGGTGATGGCGATAGGCCTGTAGTTGGACGGGTCTGAGCGGTCGCCTTTTTTAGGGATCGGGTGGACCAAAGCTGTCTTCCATGAATTCGGGACTACGCCTTGGGAGTAGGAGTACCGGAAAAGACGCGTTAAAACCGGTGCCAACTCCGGAGCACACGTCTTCAGCACAATGGGAGGCACTCCATCGGGCCCACTCGACTTGCTGACGTCCAGGGAGAAGAGTGCTTTGCGAACCGAGCGCTGTGTAAATCGCACATCCGGCATGGAGCACTCACATCGCGGGATGGTCGGCGGTGTGTTCCCCCCGTCATCTAGAGTCGAGTTGGACGCAAAAAGAGAGCACAACAGATCGGCTTTCTCTTTTGCGGCATGGGCCAGTGAGTCGTCCTCTCTGTGCAGAGATGGGAGGGATGGCTGACAGAAGTTCCCTTGGACAGCCTTGGCGAGAGACCAGAATGCACGGGTTCCCGAAGGAAGGCGAACTAGCTTCTCGCCAATTCTGCCGATGTGCTCAGACCTTGCCTTGGCACGCTTTTGAAGGACCTGGAGGCGGAATTATACTTCTTTTTAAGTGCGCTGGTGTTTAAATCCCGAGACGTTGATGCGTCAGCCCAGGCCCGGTAGCACTCCTGCTTATAGCGTGATGCTATTTTACAGGAGCGACCAAACCATGGCTGGGATCTGCCTCCGATGGGCACCACAGAGGATGGAATAAAAAGTTCCATACCCTGAAGTACCACATCAGCAACAGAATCGGCAACAACGCTGGGATCTTCCGGCGAGAAGCAAACCCGCCCCCAAGGGTAGGATGCAAAAAAAGACCGCATCCCGTCCCAATCAGCTGACCTATAGTGCCAAACACGGCGGCAAGCTGTAGATCGCAACTGCGATTGGAGCGTGAGTGGCACTGTGCTCCGGATCAGACAATGGTCCGAAGAGCCCAGAGGGGCATCGACGGAGACCTGATATCCGTCCGGATGAGAGGTCAGCAGAAGGTCCAACAGGGAAGGTACATGGTCTTCCACATCTGGGATCCGCGTAGGCGAAGTAACCAGTTGTGTTAGACCATATGCCAAAGCAAAGTCGTAGACAGATCTACCCGCATGATCGGTTGAACGAGAACCAAGCCATTCAGCGTGGTGGGCGTTGAAATCACCGAGTATCACGATCTCTGCGGATGGGACCTGTTGTAGCACGGAGTCTGCAGCCATTTGGACGTGGTCGATGAGTCGGTCTGTGTCGGCATTACCGCTATGGGACCTATAGAGGCACCCGTAGACGCGGGGATGGTCGTCGCTGTCTACGCGCAGCCATAGGATGGACAGGTCCGTACCTTCAAGGCTGCCGAGGCGTCGAAAACAGATGTCCTCTCTGACGTATACACAAACTCCAGCCCGGGGCACAAAGGAGTGTTCCAATTTGTACCCCGGGTAGGAGAGATATGAAGTATCAGCCGGAGAGGACACCTGAGTCTCGGTTAAAAAGAGCAAGGCCGGCTTCGCCGTCTCTAGATGGTAATGGACAGCGTTAAGGTTGGAATGAAGTCCCCTGATGTTGCAAAAATTCACGGATAGCGTGACAGGGGTCGCCTTGGTTGTATTGCTCCGCTTGCCCCGAGCGGAATTTTGCCCCCCCCAGAATACGCGGGGCAGCCTGAGCACCCACGCTCAGGATTGGAATAACATGGTCGTGGATGCTCAGCGAGGGATTCTCCAGGGGTACTGGTACCCTCCTGGGGTAGTCTATTGTCTAATTCCGCTACCATGTTGATGGGGGGGGGGGGAATTGGGCCTCCGGCCACCTGCACTCACCAAACGCAACGCAGAGGTAAACCTCTACTTCACGCTGGTATTCTGTGAGGTCGTGGTACCACCCCGGTTCGAGCTGGCCCATCCGTGCGACAGCAAAAGCTACCGCTTGGCTCTACCACTGTTACGCTCTGTGTTTCGTATGGTGAGTGTGGAGAACCGGAGACCCTTTTTAGTGGAAATGAGGCATTCCATCTTAGTCATCACGGGTGACAACGCTTCTGCATTTTGATTTGTAATAGACTTAATAGAGGATAGATGTAGATTTCTATGGGCCGCAGCAATCACTTACGATCAGGTTGACTGTGGGCTCGTTTGTCACCCTTTACTCTATAAAAAGGACCTACCCATAGGAACTATTTGTTGTGGGATAAAGTGGTTTCATCTTTAAATATTGCAAAATATCTATAAATCTAAGCAAACCATATTACACGATGTAGTCCTGATATTGACTTCTTTACAGAGTTAAATAATCACTTAGATATCAAATGATACATAGATATTGAAATCTATGCTTTCTAAAGTGCCAGGGCCAGGGCAGGCGCAAACGCTTGATCCATAAGATTTTACCTTTTTCATAAGGTAAAAATTGAACAAGTTTATAAAATGTGTTCTCAAAACGACCCAAAATTAATACGCCTTTTTATTTGATATGACTTTTACGTTTATTTTATTATTACCACTATTTAATTAAATCTTTATGATTTTTTTACTCTGATTCGCGATTTTGACTTTCTCCGTATGTTTAAATTTTATAAAATGATATTGCTTTTGTTTAGAAAAATTAAAAAGTGCTACACCTTAGCCTTTATCTATGACAATTAATTGACTGGTTTTTGAATAACTAGTGAGATATGTCTTTATTAAACATAATATTGAAATTATAAACATATGACAATAACTATTGAGATATGTCTTTAATTAACAAAATGTTGAAATTAAAAACAAATGAGCTAATTGCGATCAAACATTGTTACAATGAAATATTAAATAGCTAGGTTTTTAAAAATATTAAATAGCACGACTAAAAGTCTTAAAATTGTATTTATCATCATTTCTATACAAACTAAGTATAATAAGAATTTAAAACATTACAGGGCGGACGATACGCACTCCTGTTGGTAGTGCCACGTTCACGAGACGGTCTGACTCGTCTCACTGCTGACTTGCCTTCCGTTCCTGTCTCCGAAATACAAGAAACACTTCAAGACGAAGAATTACAAGTGTCTTTGCCGTTGTTCAACGTGGAGACAACTACTAAGCCAATTGCGGCTTTAGCCAAGGTAACTGCTGTATCAAAATTTTTCTTTAGGAGTGAAAATTTAGAAGTCTTCGTAATAACCGTTATCTTGTCCATTTATGCTATGCTCGTGGAGATTTTAATGTCCAACAATGTAGACGTGGCATACACTGGCATATTATCTTTGATTAGAGAATTCTTTTATAACAAGATGGTCATCGATGTGACTGGGTGTATAGTTTGAAATATTATCTTACATAGTTTTGAATCTACATAATTGTGCCACAGACCTTTTTTCTGTTCGGAGAGTAAAAGAGACATTTCATCATAGTCCTCATGGGTAATGTAACACATGTTTCTTTACTACTGGTTGTTGTTGATATTCTCCAAAAAATTAAAATATATAAGATATTTGAAAATTGTACCCTAAGTTCAGATATAACTACTTGAAATGTACATAAATTGAACATTTTTACATTTTGATAAAATTATAAATTAAAAATTTTAAACAATTTTTATCAGTTATTTGATTATGGTATATTTATGGCTTATGAACGGTTATTTATAAAAAAAATTAAGTTTTGTGATTGTGAAAATATAACGGTTTAATTTCTTTATATTTTACAAACAAAGATAAGAACATTTTTGTTTCCTGCGCCCGATAAAAAAAAAATTGATGAAATATCAGGTGTAAGTAAGTGAATATAGCTTAACTATTTCTAGAACTATCCAAGTGTCAACTTTAAATATGGTTGTTTAATAAAAAGTTAGGCGAAGCGATTCAAAATATAACGGTATAATTTCTTTATCTTTTATAAACAAAGATAAGAACATTTTTCTTTGCTGCGCCTGATTGTGTACACCTTCCCTACTTCTATAACTATAACTCTCCAAGTGCCGGCTTTTCCTGAAAGCGGTTTATCTGAAGGCTGATGGCCTAGGTTCTGATGGCACATCATATATCAATATGATGTTTAAAGTTGGTTTTAGTGGTCTACGAATTGCAATAGTCATATAGGTACTATTAAGTTAAATGTCAGCTTTTGTCACTCTCATATATGCAGGATGTTCAATGCAAAGCCTTGACAGGTCACCTCGTGGGGCACATTTTTGAGCAGGTTACCCTTACCTAACATATTAAAATTTCTAGTTATCATGAAAATTATGATTTTTGGCAAATATCAATTTGGAATTTAATCGTTAAACCAATCGTTAATAACGATTAAACCGGCTACAATCACTACATAAAACATTGTTTTTATCTTAGCTTAATGTGTATTCAATCGACAAACACCAATGCAATTAACACATCATTGTCTAAATTAGATAAGCTGAAGATTCAGAAATTTTTAGCAAAGTTAAAGAAACTCTATTAAAAAAAAGAAAGTAGACTTACACAACTCCCTCGTGGCGCCACGAGGAGACCTATCCCACCCTCAAGGCTTTACATAGATCTTCCGAGCATTCTATATATAGTATTCAAGAAACGTGGCTTTTAAGCCTTTATATTAGTAAGAAATATGAAATGATAAAAAATGAATATGTGCTTCATAAAGCAAGTATTATGTTTATGTTTCACTACTCTTACTTCTGAGGTCTATTAGGCAGAAGTAGTCCGTTACTTTGCCTCAATGCGTGTTGGTAGACTTCATAATATATATCATAATTATATATATATATATATATATATATATATATAATTTCATATAATATAATAAAAATTTCATATATATATCTTTATATATGAAAATTACGTGTCACGTTGTTTGCCTGTCGCCTTGTTCGCCTGTCAAACTGAATGGTATCGAACTTGTAAGGGTGCCATCCTTCAAGTATCTCGGTCACGTGGTTACCGAGGACTTGAAGGATGACAAGGATATTGAAAGGGAAAGGAGGGCGATGGCAGTCCGTTGCAACATGTTGGCTCGCAGATTTGCACATAGCAGTTCAGATGTAAAAATAACACTGTTTAAGGCATACTGCCAAACGCTTTATACGTGCAATCTATGGGTTAACTACACGCGGGGGGCTGTTAACGCTCTCCGAGTACAATATAATAATGGTCTGAGAATGTTGTTGGGGCTTCCAAGTTACTGTAGTGCATCGGGAATGTTCGCATTGGCGCACACTGATGGTTTTTACACCGTAGTGCGCAAGCGAATCGCATCCCTCCTGCGCACGGTGCGGGGGAGCGCCAACACCATTCTCAAAGTAATCAGTGAAAAGCCTGACTGCCCGATACTTCGGCACTGGGTGTACGCTCACACACATGTTGCACATGTGTGTGAGCCCCACACATGGGGTGTCGCGCAGTGCAGGCAGATATTTAAATTAAAATAAATATTTTCTAATAGAAATGTTACTAACCTAGTTTTTAAGATCTCTTTTTTATGCTACTAACAATATTATGGACAAAAGTCTGAAATAAATCAATTTTATTTTATTTTTTTTATTTTGTTGTTTATCCGCGATGAACTCCTAACCGCGATGAACTACTGAACTGATTTCAATAAAATTTTGCACACTCTGAGGGTCTTCGAAAAGGGCAGAACAACGTCTGCCTGGCCAACTAGTATATATATATATATATATATATATATATATATATATATACGCAGACGTTGTTTTATATATATATATACATATATTATATATCTATATGCATATTATATAGATATTTCTACATAATATTTTACTTCACCGCCGAGCACCTGGTAAATTAGCATTTAAAATGCAATTTTAAAATTTTTAATAATTAAAATGCAATAACCAATTTAACGGTGTCAGCATTCATCGTACTCTGTTTTCTCGCGTATACTGTTACAATTTTAAACTGATTGATTATTCCTTTAAACTATTACGGCTCCACATCTGCATGCATTCATTCAATCATTACGGCAAATCGAAAGTCCACTACTGATTGCCTCGTATTTGCCAATGTCGCTACGCTTGGCAGGCGGGTTGGTGATCGCAGTTTTCTATTGTTTTTAGGTTGTTATCAGGAAGATGTTACTGCTCATATCCTGTTTTATTTCCCTCTGCCGCTTCTTATTACACACGCGGGATAATAATGTGTATTGTTATGCATATTTATGAATTCTTACACAGCCACAACACTGCGTTTGACCTCTATTTGTATTTAATAAATTTATGCGAGTATTCAATTTATGCAAAATTTATGCAAGTATGCATATTTACTATTTAGTTGCGTTGAATTAAATACCTATACTCGTATAATGACATTAAATGCAAATATTAGTCATATTTTAAAAGCTCGTGTTTTATTTATGTTGCAGTTTGGAGTGAGTAACATATTTAGCCGAGAAGCTGATCTCTCTGGTGTATCGCAAGACGAGGGCTTGTTTGTTCAAGAGCTCGTGCAACATGTCGCCGTCCGCGTGGACAATGCTGATTCAACTGCGAACGAACTTTCCGGTAAGAAGAATTACACATTTTTCTGCCTCGTGGGTAATTAGCCGTTAACATGACTGCTGATCTCTCGAGACCACATGTCTCGAGTTCGAATCCTGAATCCGACCAAAATCAGTTATTGCGTCTTTCTATCAAAAAGGAATTCTCAGAAGCAGCCCGTTTATAAAAAGTTGGTGTTGTTCCACTCCCTGCCTGGAAAAGCACGGAAACATATACATTATTATGGGTTATCTATAAAGTTTTCTCATTTGGTTGGGCTGTTTAAATATATAATTGTAAACGAAAGGTATAAATATATATAAATATCAATAAAATAAAATAAATACATAAAATACATAAATAAATAAAAACCCAACCAGATGGAAGCCCTCGGCAGGGGAGACCAAGCGGCTGAGGGTTAGGGGGTAAGGGAAAGAAACCGGCAGACGATGCGGGCGGTATCGAGGAGCACCGCCTTCTGCATTTGAGCTTGGAGCGGCCCGTCACGAAGTCCCAGTCACATTAGATGATCTGAGAGGCTGACCGGGATTAGCCCGTTCGCAGAAATGACCTCAGGAATAATTTCGGGCGGCAGACCAATCCACATGTCGGTCACCTCGTGAATCAGGTCTAGGATATCAGAGCGAGCTCCAGGTGTAGAATCCTGACTACTAGATTGTGTCTGTGCAAATACTCAGAGTTAGAAAGCGCCGAACAACTGCAGATGACATGCCTAAGTGACTCACCGGAATGGCGACAAGCTCGTTAGAGGTTGACAGCGCCATCCTTTAGAATGTATTTGCGACAGGATCCTCCCGTGGAGCTCCTTCTCCTTCCATATGTATCCCGGTTGGAAATGCACTGTACTGCTGGGTCTTGTCATTGCTCGTTGGCTAAGGATAGAGGAGTAAGTCCTTTATCACACAAAATGACGTCTCTGTAGAATGGATCATCCGGTCTCGCCAGAAGGTAGCCAAAACAAACAGACAGACAAAAATTTTTAAAATTGTTTTTTTTTAATTACCGTTTACACTTTCATATGCATTTATTAAAAGATGTTATATTGACATTAAAAACAGACACTTCAATTTTATTTATATGTATAGATAAGCTTATAATTAGTTAAGAATAACTTTATAATCTTCTATTTTATTTCATTTAGTTGCAATCCCCGGAGTGCAATCGCTAAAGAACATCCCTCTCTACGAGGAGAGATCGCCACGCCGCTTCTATGTGGAGCATCCATTTATCTTCTACATCATCGACCGTCTGGACAACCTAGTTGTAGTTGCTGGTAAAATTATTGATCCAAAACAACCTACACCGTTTAGAGTTTAAAATGCAGAAATATGTTTGCATTTTATAAGGATAGGTTATATTTAAGCTGCTATATTATAATGGCTTGTTTGCTTTTATACTTTATCTGAATTATATTTTATTCCGATAAGGATTACATTATTTAAGCCCACCCCCTTATAATTCCTTTTTTGGATATTATCATTAGTGTCTATGTTTTGTATTTCGTTCAATACTTTTGCTGTGAGATTAAAATGTTTTAGATGATCCTTATATTTTTATACCTGCATTTGAATGAAAACCAGAAGCATTTGATAACGAAAAAGTACACAGCGTAGATTAAGTTAACTTAAGTTTTTTAATTTATTATTATTTTTTTATGAATGTTGTGAATTGTGATAACGATATAGAATAAATTATTTATTTTCACATAAATTGTTTCCTTTGAAATATCCCCGTGTACTTTCATGAAATTAAATCTGCTAAATAAAATAAATACTTCAAGGTTTTCCGATTTTTAAAATATACTTTTTCTATGATAAAAATACACGTAACGATAACTTGTAGACATTTTCTTTAGATAATCAAATAAAAGAAAACTTTTTTAATCTTTTTTGTACACCACTCCATATAAGACTCTCCACTATGTTTGATAAATATGTCCTTCAGTTATACAATCTTCCTATTTGGACCTATTTTTAGTCGTTAAGCGGTCAAACCGCGAACTCAAATTGCTCATACTATCAAGAAGGCCGCCTCTAAGTTCACGTGTTGTGAGGCAACTACGGAACCCTACATCTACATTGTGCGTGGCCCGACACACATATCTTCGTAAATTGTGATTTTGACGATTGTGAATTTCGCCGATTTTCATAGTTCTTTTTTTAATAACTTTATTAATTGGAAAGAAACCTATTTATTAAAACAATTAATAAATAGGTTTCTTTCCAAATTTATGTGGGACTTTAGGAGTAGTCCCATATAAATTTGGAAAAAAATTAAGCTCCAAAGTGTGGCAACATAGGGGATGACATTTTTAATGTAACTATTACCATATCATTACAGCTTATCAAAAGTCCACTGTTAAACATAGTCCTTCCTCATAGATAGCTTTACACGGGGGATAGCTGCCGTAGTTATCTTGCTTGGCAGGCGGGTTGGTTCACTGTAGCTTTTTATTATTTTGATATGTTGTCAGGAAGATACTGCCACTCACATCCTTTCATTTCCCTCTCTCGCCTTTTGCGACAACCACAGGAAGATATGGAGTAATGGATATTGTAACACCACCACTGCACTGTAGTTACGTAAGTAATAGGTCGGAGAAAAAGTTTGTTCGTATTTTCTACCGACTTCAAAAAGGAGGAGGTACTCAATTCGACTGTATGTTTTTTATGTGTGCCTCATAACTTTTTTCTGGGTGAACTGATTTCGATGATTCTTTTTTATTTGAAAGCTGGTGCTTCTCTTGTAATCCCATATAAATTTGATTAAGGTCTGACTAATCGTTTTTGAGTTATTCTTAATAATTTAAATTGAAGTTGAGTGTACAAAATTTTAAATTATATTATGTTGGTATAATATAGAAGAAAAATCTCTTTGGTTGTACTATTTTTTCTACATACAGGACATTAAGATAAAGAAAAATAAAAAGTAAAAAACACTTTCCCCCCATTTTTCAACTGTTTTTCTGTCCGCCAAATTGAGTGAATCTAACGAATAAATTCGATTACATTCTGAAGCTTTATTACAAAAAAGGGAATAATGCGACTCAAGCCCCGGAAAACATTTGTGACGTTTATGGACCTAATGCAGTGTCAGTAAGAGTAGCACAAAGTTGGTTCAAGCGTTTTCAGTCCCGGAATTTTTATGTCAAAAATGCAGCTCGCCCTGCTCACCCTCACACAGATAAAGTTGACGCCATTTTTGAAATAGTGGAGCTAGATCGGCATATAAGTTTTTAAGATGTAGCCGAAGAATTGAGTATTGATCACAAAACAGTTGTATCTTATTTCAAAAAATCTGGTTATACCAAAAATCTTGATATTTGGGTAGTACACGAGCTCACTGAAAGAAACCTAATGAATCGTGTACTCATTTGCGATTCTCTATTGAAACGTAATGAAACCGAACCATTTTTAAAAAGATTGATCACTGATGACGAATAGTGGATCACCTACTACAAGAAAGTGCTTAAAAGATCATGCTGAAGGGGTAGTCAAGCTCCCAAAACTGTAGCGAAACCCGGATCAACAAGCAATAAGATGATGCTGTGCGTATGACGAGATTGCAAGGGCATCGTTTGTTACGAGCTTTTACCACCGGGCAAAACCATCGACTCGGATCTCTACTACAAGCAAGAAATTGAGAAAAAGCGCCCGAAATTGATTAACAGCAAAGAAGTTTTTCATCTTGATAACGCCAGACCACACGCATCTTAGGCCCCTCAGCAAAAATTGAGAGAGCTTATTTGGGAAGTGTAAATGAACCCACTAGTAGTCCTGACCTTGTACCCTCAGATTTTCATCTGTTTAGGTCTCTTCAGAATTCTTTGGTAGTGTTAGGTGATCATCAAGAGAGGACTGTCAAAACTACTTGCCACAATTTTTTACCAAAAATCCCAAGATAATAAGGTACGAGGTAAGATAACAACAACGGGATTATGTCACTACCTACAAGATGGCAACAAGTTATCGAACAGAATTGCTCATAATATCACAATTAAATGAAATTAAACTTTGAAAAAAAAAGTCTACAATTTGTATATAAATACGAAGAAACTTTTCCCCAGACCTATTATTAAAAATGTTACTATTGAAAATGTGAAATTATTTTTAGTTCTTTATATTCATAGAATAGAATAAAAGTTGAAAGTAAAATTCGACTTATTTTACTTTGTACTTTTATTGTATTCTATCTATTATTATATCGATATAATAATAGATTGAAGTGATATAATCGATTATATCACTCCATCGGAAATCCAAATAAAGATATTGATTTTGATGTTACATCTTTAACTTACATTAAAATACATAAAATATGCATATACAATATAATATTTTAGGTTAAATTTGAAATCGTTTGTAGGTTTTGTACAGTTTGGGCCAAATGAAAAATGTGTTAGGAAGAATTAAAAAAAAATACATATTAGGTATATTTAACATATTCATATTTCTTTACAAAACAAAGGATGATTAGATTAATATTTAGTACAATTAAAGTGCCGTGCCGTGCCGTGTAGTGGCGGTCAAGAATATCCACTACCCCATATCCTCCCGTGGGTGTCGTAAAAGGCGACAAAGGGAAACAGGCAGAAAATGGGCAGCAGCATCTTCCTGATAATAGCCAAATTACAATAAAAAAACTGCGGTTGCCAACCCGCTCGCCAAGCGTGGCAACTATGGCAAATACCCCCCTATGAATGACAGTAACAAAAAAACGGCCCCCAGTCCCCGGCGGCCCCGCTATTCCTGGCTACGGTGGCGACCATGGTAACGGCGGGGCAGGGGGTGCTAAGAATCTCCGGTGGAGGTTCGGTTGCCACCTTAGACGACTCGACCTGGCAACGTACAACGCACGCACCCTGAGGACTGACGAGAAGATCGTGGAGCTGGAAGAAGAGATAGACAAGTTGCGCTGGCATATTATAGGATTATCCGAAGTCCGAAGAGAGGGGGAGGACACGGTAATCCTCGAATCCGGCAACTTGCTCTATCACCGGGAGGGCGACCATCTGTCCCAAGGAGGTGTCGGATTTATCGTCCACAAGTCTCTCGTTAACAACGTTGTAAAGATCGGGAGTGTGTCGACGAGGGTTGCGTACCTTATACTCAGAATCACTAAACGGTATTCGCTGAAGGTCATACAGGTTTACGCACCAACCTCGGCACACCCCGATGAGGAGGTGGAGGAAATGTATGAGGATATCTCTAGAGCCATGCATTCCTCCAAAACCCAATATACGGTGTTAATGGGAGACTTCAATGCAAAACTAGGCACAAGAGAGAACGGTGAGCTGAAAGTAGGGAAATTTGGAATAGGGCAACGGAACCCAAGGGGCCAGCAGCTGGCCGACTTCATGGAGAAAGAGGGACTCTTTATGATGAACTCTTTCTTCCAGAAGCGGCCCCACAGGAAGTGGACCTGGTCGAGCCCCGACAGTTCCACAAAAAATGAGATTGACTTCATTATGACGACCAGACGACAACTGTTCAGTGATGTCTCCGTGATCGCGAGGGTGAAAACTGGTAGCGATCAACGAATGGTTAGAGGCACACTGAACCTAAACGTTAAGTTGGAGAGGTCTCGTCTAATGAAGTCAACGCTCCGTCCCCCTCGTGCTCTGTTCCAAAGTCCCGAAACCTTTCAGCTCGAGTTACAAAACCGTTTACAGTGCCTGGAAGACTGCAATGAAGTGGACGATATGAATGACAAGCTCGTGGAAACTGTCCATGCGGTCGGAGCTAAGTTCTGCAAGACCCGCCGCAGAAAAACACAAAAACTCTCCGATCACACTCTTAATCTCATGGCTGTTAGACGGGAGATGAAGCTACATTCTTCAATAGACTTGACAGCATACAGGCATCTGAACAGACAGATCTCCAAATGCATGCGGCGGGACTTACGCAACTTCAATACAGCTCGTATTGAAGAAGCGATCGAGCGGAACCAAGGCTCCAAAGTCTTTGCCAGAGATCTGTCTGCCAGAAAGAGCCAACTATCAAAGCTGAAGACAGAATGTGGCAGCATCGTTTCCGGGACACCTGGGATTTTGAGTGAGATTGAGAGGTTCTATGGGCAGCTGTACACATCATCGTTGGAGCCACACGCAAGTGTGAGTAACGATCCAAGAGCGAGTCTCATCCGACACTATTCCGAAGATATCCCGGATGTCAGTCTGAGCGAGATTAGGATGGCTCTCCAGCACCTTAAAAACGGTAAGGCCCCAGGCGAGGATGGAATTACAGCGGAGCTTCTGAAAGCGGGTGGAAGACCGGTACTTGAAGTCCTTCAGAAGCTCTTTAATTCCGTCCTCCATGGTGGCATTACACCGGAGGCGTGGAGCGGAAGTGCGGTGGTCTTGTTCTTCAAGAAAGGTGACAACGCTCTCTTGAAGAACTACAGACCGATTTCCCTTCTGAGCCGCGTCTACGTGCTGTTTTCGAGAGTCATTACGAATCGTCTCGCGCGCAGACTTGACGACTTCCAGCCTCCCGAACAAGCCGGTTTCCGAAAGGGCTTTAGCACCATAGACCACATACATACCCTTCGGCAAGTTGTACAGAAGTCCGAAGAGTACAATTTGCCACTATGTCTGGCGTATGTGGACTATGAGCAAGCCTTTGATTCCGTCGAAATTTGGGCGGTGCTGCAGTCCCTTCAGCGGTGCCAAGTTGACTGTCGGTATATCGAGGTGTTGAAGTGCTTGTACAGTAGGGCTACGATGGCTATCCGAGTACAGAACCAGAGTCCGAAACCTATCCAATTGCAGAGAGGTGTAAGACAGGGTGACGTCATATCCCCGAAACTCTTCACCGCTGCATTGGAAGACGTTTTCAAGCTTCTGGACTGGAAAGGATACGGTATCAACATCAATGGCGAGTACATCACTCACCTTCGATTTGCCGACGATATAGTCCTTATGGCAGAATCGCTGGAGGACCTAAGCACTATGCTCAATGACCTCAATAGTGTTTCCCAACGGATAGGTCTTAAGATGAACATGGACAAAACAAAGATCATGTTTAATGTCCATGTCACACCTATGCCGGTAGTTGTTGGGAGCACTAAGCTCGAAGTTGTTGACGAGTATGTTTACCTGGGACAAATAGTCCGACTGGGTAAGTCCAACTTTGACCGAGAGGTCAATCGACGGATTCAACTCGGCTGGGCAGCGTTCGGGAAGCTACGACACATCTTCTCGTGAGACATACCTCAAAACCTTAAAACGAAATTGTACAACCAGTGCGTGTTGCCAGTGATGACTTACGGAACTGAGACGTGGTCCTTCACTGCTGGCCGTATGAGGAAGCTCAAGGTCGCTCAGCGAGCTATGGAGAGGGCTATGCTCGGAGTTTCTCTGCGTGATAAACTTAGGAATGAGGATATCCGCAGTAGAACCAGAGTGACCGACATAGCCCAACGGATTAGTAAGCTGAAGTGGCAGTGGGCCGGCCATATAGCTCGAAGAACCGACAACCGATGGGGAAGAAAGGTTCTCGAGTGGCAGCCTCGTACCGGTAGGCGAAGTGTAGGGCGTCCCCCCACGAGATGCAGTGACGACCTGGTAAGACATGCAGGAAGTCGATGGATGCAGGTGGCTCAGGACCGTGTTTTGTGGCATTCTTTGGGGGAGGCCTATGTTCAGCAGTGGACTTGTGAAGGGCTGTAATGATGATAATGATGATGACAATTAAAGTATTTATCACTAGTTTTTATATATTTTTTTGAATATAATATGTTTTCATATTTTATAAGTCTGTATATTTTTCGTCTCATCATCAAATTATTTAGGTATTATAACAAAAACCAATGTTGAAGAAAAAAATTTTGTCTATAATACGCACTTATTTATATTATCAGCGATGTTAGTATTCGTTAAGTTTATAAGTTGTTATGCGGGTAGGTTTAAGCAATATATATAAATTATCCCCTTGTTATCTCATGTGTTGATTTAATGGTCGCGCTGGTCGTGAACGGTTGTTATAAATAATTAAGAAACGGTTAAACAAGTGATAAATAGATATGGCCAACAAAGAAAACATAGACACACTAAAAGTCAAAACCAAAATTCCTTTGCCATTGGTACCTTTACCAGCCTTACCTAAGCATTTATTGCTCAAGAAAATTCAAGAAGTTCCAACAAGCAAAGATAAAAGAATTCCATTAACAACTATTAGTAGTTTGTCCAGTTTGCCCGCTGGATCTAGCACGGGAAACGGTAAAGTTGTACCAACTAATACTATATGTACAAATGAAGTTGACTCAAAATACGTTACTTTTAGAAAAAGAAAGGAAAATTTGGAATACTGGGACTATAAAGTTTGTAAAGACGAAGCAGATAATAAAGACAGTAGTATAATTTCAATAATTGACGTTGAAGAGAGTTTTATTAAGGGAGACAAGAAAGAATACAATAAAGAAATTAGTATAATTCCGATAATTGACGATAAAGAGAGTTTTATTGCGGGAGACAAGAAAGAATACAAAGATTTTAGTGAAAATGAACAGAAAAGCTGTCTTGGTGTATCCAGGAGGGAGGATACTCTTGTACCGTGTAGAGTGAGAAGTATAAAAATGAGACTTTTAAAATTCAACGATCAGTTGGACCATCGATTGCAAACGCAGGATATTTGTAAGTACCTACATTTCATGATATTTATACGTAACGGGCTGTTATTTTTTTCGGCGTGAATTTATTATTTTGTACTTAGTATGCACGTAATAGTTTGTGCAAGATCAAATTAATAGTACAAACGCCAGAGTTTATCGTTACTTGCTCTTGCCTTCTATATACCTTATATACATAGTAGACAGTCATGAACAAGATGTTCATATTTACCAAAGGCCGAGAAAAATTAATAAACGCACACCAGTATGTGCCGGATCGCGAACAGCGTAGGGTGAAGATCGTGTAGTAATGGGCCAAGATGAATTCAACTAAGCAGTTAAACTTGCACTTTTACTAAGCCAAAAATGCTTACATAACGAAATATGATACACTTTCGACAACAGGTATCAATGTCACATTGCGGTACGTAGTACGATTGGAAGGCTCAGATGCAGTATCGAACATACTACGTTTGACAATGTCATTGCCAAAGACCAAATTAGAAATTTTGTACAAATACTTCTACTGATAATAATTAAAATGATAATTAAATTTAGATATTTTTATGATAATATCGTAAAAAGCCAAGGCTAAATCAGTGAAGTGTGCGCCGTGACAATTAAGAAGAAGGGCACTTGCGCGAAATTACTTGAGCAACCGAAGTTAGAATCGTTGCCTGTATTTTAGCAGGCTTACATGCTAATTTATCACGTGCTCAGCTTTGTAAAAAAGGTTACATAGTGAAAAATAAAATATATATCGAGAATATTACAAGTACGTTAAAACGTTGTAGTGGCGAATCTTTTCCACTGCAACATGTGATCGTTTAGATGCTCCTTTATTTTTGTATTGTTACTTTTTTGAGGGTAATAAATTATTGTGTAAACATTTAGAATATTACATATAGCATACTAGCATAGTATTAGAAATTTTTGTATTTTTGTATTTAGCAGGCCTTGACCAAAACTGATATAAGGAGATATTGTATCACAAAATCTTACAAATATGTAATTTATATAAAATTAGTATATTTTTTCAGATATGTTGTACATTTTTTGTACCAGTTGGTACCACGCGCCTGACTGTGGAGAAAAACATCGTAAGAAAACCCACATGACCGAGGAGTTGAACATTTCGAAGACATGTTTGTGTATTCCGTCAACACGCACTGGAGCAGCGTGACATTAATTGTTCCGTAAGCCTCTGAGAAATGAGAGGAGACCTTCCCTACCTTTTAAAAACCATTTCTGTACGTTTGACGGATTGCAAATACTTTCTTTCTCTGTGCAGTTGAGGAGTCAGACACGAAGTGTAGCGAGAGTGAATATGTCAAGGATCTGTTCCTTCATTTCTTGAACAACGAAAGACCTGCACCCGTGCCGAGAATACCCAGCAGCACCCGTGCCTGTGTTCTTAATTGGTTATTAGTAGTGAACGTATGTACTGAATCGACATTTTCTAAAATAAAATAATTTTTGTGTGTGTGTTTTTTTATAGGATAGGGTGACAAACGAGCACACAGTCCACCTGACGGTAAGTGGTTGCTGTGACCCATAGACATCTACAACTATCCTCAATTAAGAATCAAAATGCAGATGCGTTGTCACCCTTGAGGACTAAGATAGAATGCCTCGTTTCCAGTAAAAAGGGTCTCCGGTTCTCTACACTCACCACACGAAACAGCAGTGTCAAGCTGCTATTCTGTGAGAACGTGGTCCTTCCCCGGTCGAGCCGACCCATTCGTGCTACAACTTTAATACTAATATACCTGCAGCATGGCTCTACCACGTGCAAAATTATTTTTGGGTTGTATGTAATTTTGGTTTAGGGGTTGGTTCGACCGAGAAAACACCTCACTCTCACAGAATACTAGCGTATAATAGGAACTTAATGCTGCTGTGTTTCGTGTGGTGAGAGTAAAGAAGTGGAGATCCTTTTTACTAGTAGAGAGAGACGCTATAATCCTCAGAAATGGCAACGAATAAACATTTTGATGCTTACTTGAGGATCGATGTAGGTACATATGAACCACAGCATCCACTTACCATCCGGTGGACTGTGTGCTCGTTTGTCACCATTATTCAATAAAAAACTAACATTAAATAAATATATTTCAAGTGAATATTGGACATGTATCTGGAATAATTGACTACTATTATTGTCCTTAATTAGTGTTGTAATCGCCTTTCTAGGTAGGCTAGGTAGAGATAGTCAGATATTCTATAAAATCTGTCGTTATTAGCCGGTAAAAAGCGCATTGCTGGACATTGAGCCCTTTTGTAGTAACTTACTGATTAGTCTCTCTAGTAAGTTAGTGTTTAACTAACGGTTCGAAGCTTTATAATTTTTGGTTTTATTTTTTTAATTATTATTTTTCTAACCCAATCAAATATAAAATTTCTTGTAGGTTTTTAGAGCACGGTTCTTTAAACGATGTCATCCGAAGGCCTCTTTTCTCTTTAAATGTTCCCTCGGTTTTAGGGCCTTGTGGCATATTTAGAGACGATAGCGAGAGACCCAACGGTATGACATTGGTCCCTTGGGAGAAAGGTAAAACCCTAGTGTGGGATGCTACTTGCGTAGACAATTTGGCGGCCTCTTATCTCAGGGGTACCTCGTTTAGAGCCGGGGCGGCATCAGTGGCAGCTGAACTGAGTAAGTGGCGCAAATATGAGTCTCTGAGAGATGAATACATATTTGTGCCATTTGCTGTAAAGACTATCGGTCCGTGGGGTCCACGTGCGGTGAAGTTCCTAAAGGAACTGCATCCACGGCTGGTCGTTGCTGCTGGTGATAAGAGGGCTGGTTCTTTTCTCGCTCAAAGGCTAAGTATAGCCATTCAGCGGGGAAACGCAGCCAGCGTTCTTAGCACGATACCAAGTAGGACTGTATGATAATTATGTTACTAGTTTTAGCTTTTTTTTATTATAGTTTTTAATATTGTATATAATAAAGTATTATATATTACTTTATGTAAATAAATTTACAGTAACAATTAAAAAAATCAAATATTACATATACGGTGTCAGAAATTTAATTTAATTTACTTTTACTAGATGAGTTTATTTAAAAAGTTCATCTTAAATAGACACAGTGCAAAAAACTATATTATTTGAACTAGATTGTTATTGCACTAGAGTACTTCAACAATTTTACGTACTCGTATTATCAGTATTTGGGTATGAAATTCCAATGTCCGCCATATCTTTTTAATAATGTTAGTAAAAAAACCTTAAAATACGAAATTTTAATGGTAACTAAATTGGATAATTTTGATTAAAATACGACAAACACCTAACATTGAAGATTCTGAAAATAGTTTGAAGATACGTACTTGCCAAATGGATAAGTGTAAAAATACATTACAAAATACCAATTTTACTTTTTTCATACATATATATACGTAAATTGAAATTTTGCTTATTGTTGACTTATATATAGCACGGCAGGACCGAATTGAATCTTCTGCGGACCCTAGACTGAATACAAATCCTGTCTATATTGACCTTAAACGCGATAAAATCCTTAAAATTAGTTTTATTTCTTATAAATATTATTCACAGTGAACGTGGGAAGCACTACACTCATGAACGGGAGTAGAAAAATGTTCGCCTTGTGTGGTGGTGAAGGAGAATCCGCCACCTCATATCGTCCCGTCGTAAGAGGTGACATAGGAAAACAAACAGGAGATGGGCGGCATCATCTTCCTGACAACAGATCAAAATAATAATAGCTGCGGTTGCCAACCCGCCTACCAAGCGTGGCAACTATAGCAAATATCCAGCTACTTGACAATTTATGCTGGAGGCCTATGTCCATTTCGATAGATTGGACTTTTGATAGGTGGACGATAATGAGTTCTACTCATCTTTGGAACCCTTATTTTTTACGGTAGAGTGAAAACAAAAAGTAACATACCCGAAAATATCAATGAAATAAAAACTGCATATGTTACCCCATGAAAAGTAAAAAGTAGCAGCTTACATATATGTCACTACTGGGCAAAAGCCGCAGATAGTTTTTGGCCAAAAAAAAAAGTGTTCGCTGCGCTGATTCCAACCCGGGATGATCTCAACTGTGAAACTTCTCAGATATGCAGGTTTTCCTACACCGACGGGAAGGTGGTAAATCGACACTTCAAATTGTAATTAAAATATAAGCTAAAATATACAGGGTCATTTTTAATTTACTGAAGACCTTTTGGGAATATATTGGTTACATCATTACAAACAATTTTAGTGAGATCACTCTTCACAGAATATAATACATTTACGAAAAAACTACTTTTAAGGTTTTGTTGTCTCCTTTTAAGTCTGTATTTTGTAGTACCTAAACAATGTCAGAATAAATCGTCAAAGAAAATGCCTAAATAAGGCATTTTTACACTTGATACAGTATCAAATATTGTGTTGAAATCATTAAACATAATTAAATGAGCAAATGACAGTCAAAAAAAAAAACCACAAATATTAAAATTTATAATAAGTAAGAATGACCGCCGGGCCGGTCGACGCCCGCGCTCAGCTGATTGCGTTGCGAGTAGGGTTACCAGACGAAAAAATAAAAAGTTCGGAGAAGAGGCCTGATTTCCATTTAAAAATCCTGAGATTGTTTTACAGTTTGAGAAGAAAACCTTACTTAAAAAGGTACATATTAAGTATGATAAAACTGTTTAAGTACCTACTTGGATAAATAAGTTTTGATTTTAATTGTGGAATTATTACCAAAGGAAAATTATTTTTAGTTTGTTTAACTTTTTATTAAGAGATCTTTTAAAATGTAAGCTGTATTATATTGAAAGTTCTAAAAATCCTGAGATTTCATGAGATTTGCAAAATCCAGCCGCAATCCTGAGAAGAGTCTAAAAATCCTGAAATCTCAGGACAAATCCTGAGATATGGTAACCCTAGTTGCGAGAGCCTACTAAACCATTCATCATTGTGCCTATTGCACCAGGGCGCCACTTTAAATGACTTTACATTAACTTTTCATATACTTCTTTATTTTGCATAAAACCATTTGATGAACTATTTGATTCTTTTATTAATTTCTTTAAGAATTAATAGACATTCTTTAATAGACATTTAGGTAGTCTTTTTACGAATACTGTTTGCTAGCAACTCTGCCTGCATCCAAGAGGCGAGAGGTGAGAAAATTTCAATCGCTAAAATATTATTTTTATAGTTTTTATAATAATTTTGTGGACAGGCCGCCATCTATCGTCAAGGTAGCTACACTACACTGCAACATCAAGATCGATATGGAACGATTCGAGTAGTTTTACTATTTATCGGTAGATGTAGATAGTAAAGTGGCGGGGGCTTAACATTCCCTCACCCCGCAAATTGTCACGCGTTTGTTACTTAGTGAAAACTAATTACAACACCTCATCTTTGTATTTGCTTCATGGTTTCCACATCTACACGACTATTTAAATTACTCGGGCATCTAGGTTTCCCCTCGAAGTTGTTCTTCACCACTTTAACGAACACGTATTAAGTCAGCACGTAAAATTTTCTATAATAGATTCATCGTTGAGGGAATCGAACACGTTCTGCTCCCATGCAATGTTGAAATCTCACGGCGAGCTACACGGCCTTCGTATTTGTTTAAATACAATACATAAAAACTGAAACTATAATTTAGCATGATTTTTCTATCATATTCATTTACCTAGTAGTTACACATACAACGATGCCACGAAAGAATTTTCAATTATTTACATTATATATTCAGTAGCATTCTACTATTTAATTTTATCAGTGACTTAGCATTTTAGTTTATGTAGAAGTAAGTAGATGCCGCAATTTTTTTTATATCAATAAGGTATAAAGTGATGTCAATTTTGTTAAAAGTTCTGTTTCTGCAAAATCTACGCTATCAGCACCGCTAGCGGTGATAAACTATTTAATGATATCGTCATATGACCATATCATGAAATAGCAACGTTGTGTTAGTTATCAATATCTTCAAATGACTTCTATTTATTGATTTGGTCAAGCTATGGTAAACAAACAGTGTTAAATATCATGAAATTCACGAAATGATAGACAAATTTATGATATACGATCTGGCCACGACATATATAAAAATCTCTTTAATAAGGGCACAGACCAGTTTTAATCAGTTTAGTAATTGAAATAACAATCTTATCAATTTTCCTATTTTTGATAGACGTCACTATTATATATTGAAATTATTATTTTGTTTTGATAATTTAGTTACGTAGTTTAGTGTAGTTCAAATTATTTTACCTAGGTTATAACTATCTTTTAAAATTTACTTATAAATATGGTTGTTCGCGCCAAACGCTAATTTCAGGAACTAATGCCAGGGGGCGCATGGCGCGGTGCATTCGTACCGGTTTGACGTTCGCGCGAGAGAGTTATTTTGCTACCGGCGGCGGGATCGAGTCGAACAGTTGCTATAATACTGT